TCCCTGTCCATTACTGTCTTGATCTTCTCACTGGGGAGATGACCTGACGAGCCATGGTGTTTCTTCTGGGGAGATGATTCCACCTCGGTGACCCGTTGACCAAGGGTGCACTAAGCCTGAGCTCTCAGAGGTACCATTCTTTATGACTCAGGGTGACAGCCATTTTTTTCCCATACAGTGTGTCCCCCAAATGGCATCTGTGGGTTGGGAGGAACTTCCCACCACTGCTGTGGAGCTGTTTCTGCACCTCACCCACCCTCTTCCTAACACCATCAGATTCTCACATCATAAACCCAGGTTAACAATTTATTGTCACCTTTCTGTCAAGGTAAGCTCTCCCTTGGAGACCACTGACATACTTTCCTCCTTGAACTCTATCACCCCAGAGAAGTTCTAGGTCTGGGAACAGACACTGTTTTATGCATAGGGGATAGAAACAAAACAGCAAATTCTCTCAAAATGCTTCCACTCAGGATCAAGTAATAAATGCAGACATAAGTAAGATAATATTAGATAACAATGAGCGTTATAGAGACAAAGAGCCAGGTGAGGTGATGGAGAGTGGCCACTGGGGCTGTTTTCAGCTGGAGAGTCAGGGAAAGTGTTCCTAAAGGGGTGACATTTGAGCTGAGGTTTCAGTGAAGATGTGAGCACAGCCTAGAGGCACAGACAAGACGAGTGATGATGGCCAATGTGACTGGAGCAGAGTGACAGGGGGAAAGTGGAAGAAGATGGACTTGGGGAGGGAGCAGGGCCACCTCATAGATGGATTGTGCCTGACACCCCTCAGGACAATGAGCTGTAAGGCCTCTTCCAGCTTTGCCATTCTCAAGTCCTAAATTAAGATTTAAAAAGCTCTCTATGCCAAATGTGATTCTTTAATTTGACAATCTAGATTATGTGACAACCAATTTTGAATTCTCTTATTTTGTTCCAAATTCTTAATCATTATCATCAGGAAAAAATGTTTTTGACTTTCTTGTGGCCATAACTTTTCATACCATATGTTTCACCGTGATACAATCTTAAATAGCCCAAGTCTGTTAAAAGAATATTCTTGTGTGAAGATTAACACAATTTACTGGTAAATATCTAAATTGACATTTAGCATATAAATGGAGCCAAAAGGTCAGGAAATGAAAACTCTTTCTTCACTGTCTTTGACAGTGAGTATATGAAAGATAAAGGCTAATTTTCCCTATTGATGCTTCTGTTGTTTCAAATGACTCCTTCAGCCGTGATCCCCCAGGCAACAAATGAAACATTTTGTTCTCTCAATGGGCAATTATACATTTTTAAAGATAATAAATTTTGTCCATAGTGCAGCTGATTACATTCATTTATGAAAATGACTAAAATGGTAAGTCAAAATTTCTTCTGTGTGGTTGGGTTGAGATAGTCATCAGAGCCATAATAGAAAGCACAGCAGACCTGGAAACAGGAAGGCTGGAGTTGAGTCCAGCTCTTCCACTACAAGTGATGGAACCTTGAGTAAATGATGTCACCTCTCTAAGCTTTCTATGTTGTTACTTGTATAAGAGGGAGAGGCATATTGCACAATATACCTTGTGTCAGAGAGTTGGTGGGGCTGGAGCATTATGGGGAGAAGCACCTCCAGTTCTTTACCTGGGGGGTCGGATATATATGTTTGTTTTATTATTCATCTTGAAATTGTACACATCGGTGTATTTGTGATATGTACATTTCACAATAAATTTCTAAAGCTGTCAGTAGATACCTGTTGACATACTTGACAAGAAGTAAATACAGCATGAGTTTTAGTCTGGATCTCCTAGCAAATGGAATAAACCTAGGTAGAAGTCAAAACAGTTTTTCCCCTCAAATCAAAACATGTTTTTCTAGACACATCTGGCTGGCTCAGTCAGTAGAGCATGCAACTCTTGATCTTGGGGTTGTAGGTTCAAGCCCCACATTGGGTGTAAAGATTACTTAAAAATAAAAATCTTTAAAAATAATTCTTTTTAACAAGAGTTTAATTGAAAGCATAATCAGTGAAAATTTCCAATGAAGCAAAAGGGTATATCATGCTTAGTACAGCTTTTTCCTGCCATAGCCCTCCATTCATCCTCACTTGAGGCTTTTTAGGTTTCTTTCCATAAATATTCGAGAAAGCCAAAAACAGAGAGTCTTGAAAGCAGCAAGAGAGAAGCATATGGAAACATTTGCATGCACAACAATTTTTTACATAAATTAAAGTATGTTACACATGCTGCTCTATACTTTGCATTTTTCATTTATCTTGGAGATGTTTCAATATCATTCTTACAGATTTAAATTCATTCTTTTTCACAGTATTTCATTTTGTGGGTATGCTACACTTTATTTAACCAGACCCCTCTGATAAATATTTGGGTTTCTTTTGTTCTTGCTCACATTTCTGCAGCAACCATCTTTGTACTTCTATCTCCTTGTGTGTATATATCTGAAGAATGAATCCCAAAGTGCAGAAGGTAGACCCATTTAAATTTTGGTAGTTACTGTCAAAATGCCCTCCAAAGAGATAGCATGCCTTTACACTTGATCAACAGAGTAAGAGAGTGCTGCTTTCATGCATATCAACAATAGCCAAACTATAGAAAGAGCCCAAATGTCCATCGACCGATGAATGGGTAAAGAAGGTGTGGTGTATGTGTATATATACTCAGCCATCAAAAAAGAATGAAATCTTTCCACTTACAATGATGTGGACAGAACTAGAATGTATTATGCTAAGCAAAATAAGTCAGTCAGAGGAAGACAAATACCATATGATTTCACTCATATGTGGAATTTAAGAAACAAAACAGATGAACATATGGGAAGGAGGGCAAAAAGAGAAGAGATGGATACAAACCGAGACTCAGTGATAGAGAACAAACTGAGGGTTGATGGAGGGAGGTGGGTGAGTGATGGGCTAGATGGGTGATGTATAGTAAGGAGGTCACTTGTGATGAGCATTAGGTGTTGTATGTAAGTGATGAATCGCTGAATTCTATTCCTGAAGCCAATATTGCAGTGTATGTTAACCAACTAGAATTTAAATGAAATTTGGGGGAAAAAAGAGAGTTCTGCTTTCCTGACACTCCCATGATAATGTGCTCTGCTAGTCTTTTTATTAACAAATTTAAGAGGTGGAAAATAGCATTTCATCGTTTGAATTTATTTCTTTAACTATAAATGAAAATGAGCACTCTTGGTTTTTTTCTCTGAACTTCCTGTGTGGGTCCATTGCCCATTTTCCTTTTGGTTTCTTGTTCTGTATTGCTTTGTAACAGCTCTTTATATACTAGCCCTTCGCAATTATTGTTCAAGGTCTATGTTTCTCATTTGTTATCACTTGTAGTATTTTACCTCTTGCAGAAATTTTAAATTACTAGACAGTCAAATTTATACATCCTTCCTATATATATAGTATGGGGGTCATTTCTTTCTTGGAAAAATCTTTCCTACTCCAATGCCATTATAATTTTTTTCCCCAAGTTTTCTTCCAGTACTTTTATGAATTTGTTTTTCACTTCTAAATGTTTTATCAATATCATTTAATGAACTTATTTAGTGTAATGAGTGAAGTAAGGATTAAACTTTTTGTTTATCCTCCATATATCTATCCCAGATGTCTATCCAGCTGTCTCAAATTCACTTCTTAAGTAATAAGTTTTCTCTCCACAGTTTTGAAATGTCACATTAATTTGGGTCTAAAAATTACTGAGTCTGTAAATTGAAAACAATTGGATGGTAAATTAATAAACTATGTCATTCTTGGCATATTTAAGGAACTATTAAAACAGTAGCATAAATAGAGTGTGATTACCATGTGTCAGGCCCTGTTCTAAATGTGTTGCATGTATTTGCTCATTTAATCCATATAACCATGCTATAAGGTAGGTGCTGTTAGCTCCATTTACAGATAAGAACACTGAAGCACGGAGAGGTTAAATAACTTCCTCAAGATCACAATGCTTGTGAATGGCAAAGCCATGATTCAAATATAGGCAGGTTGACTTCAGAATCCTTGCTCCTATCTATAGTCTCTGCTGCCTCCACCAAATGGAAAACATGTTTGTGTGTGCTTCCTACATGCTAGGCATTGCTCCAAGAACTTCACATATAATGATTTCACTTACTCTTCACAACAGTCCTAAGAAATAATCACTATTTCTATCTCCATGTTATAGATGAGCAAACTGAGGCAAAGTATAGCTGGGAGACAGACAGGGAAAGGGGAGTGGTATGAGATGAATTCAGAGAAGGGGGAGCTTTGTTCTATCTTTAGAGCAGCAAAGAATCACAACAGTATGTGAATCAGGGCTGACCCAGTCAGATTTGTTTTTTTGTGACACTCACTGGGCACAGCATGGAGAGTGGATTGGGGAAGGGACCGCAAAGCTGGTGTGGGGAAATCAGATACCAGGCTAATACCACGCTGCAGTGACCACCTATCACAGATGGGCCATCCAGTGACGAGTGGACAGTATCCATGTGACATGAAAATTACTATCATCTGGGCAGCATCCATGTGCCAGGGGCAGAACTCAAGACAAGTGCTCAGAGTAGTTACATTTCCAGAGAAAACCCAAGTGTCCAGAGGCTAAGTACCATGTCTGTGCTCACCCAGCTAGTAAGTTCACACTCCCAACCACAAAGCCTGCCCTCTTTACTCAACCCACACACAGATTGGGCCCTTCAAATGCTGGAGGGCTGGCTCAATACAACCTTGAAAATTGGATTGAGCAATTCCTTCGCCATCCTTTGTCTTCTCAGAGGATAGAAGTCAAGGAGATCAGTTGACAATATTGACAGATGAGCTTCTGTCATCACATATCTTGAGATCATTTAAGAGTTTCCTTTTCAGTTCTACATTAACTTTTCCTCAGACTTTTGAATATCCTCCTGAGGTTACTTTGTGAATCTTTCTCATTGCTTGCTTCTTGCCTGGATAAAGGGCAAGTTAGGGGTCCACTGTCTTCTGTGCTGCTATTAATCATCCTCTCTCTTTGCAGATCCGAGTGATGGTGGATCTATGTAACAGCACCAAGGGCATCTGCCTGACAGGTAGGCCAGCCTGGAACTGAGCAGGAGTGGCTCATGCCACAAACACGTGTGGTAGCCAAAGGGCCAGAGCAGAATGAACACCTGGGAACGCTGCGGGTGATAAAAACACATGTTGGTTTACTTTTACCAGATGTTTTTAATGAACTGAAAATCAATTGTAATATAATTATGAAAAAGAACATTTTTTGGTACTGCCATAGAAATATAGCCATGGAAAATAACTGGGTCTTGGGTAATTAGAAACGTGTGGTACCTTGAACTGGGGCCATAGATGTTTTCCTTATTCACATTAATTTTTAAAAGAGAAAAGAACGGAAGGAAAGAGACCTTAGCAGAAGTAATTCTTTCCTTACATCATATGTATGGCATAAATGGAAAGTTCTAGAAGCAAACTACTGATAAATCAGAACACTTTTGATGAAGAGTGCTCTGTGTGTGGGGCCTACTGTGTGCTAGGTGAGACGGGAAGTTATGTCATACACAGGTACCCTCCACTTGATGAATCAAGGACAAAGAAACAGGAGGGAGGGAAATCAACCCCGAGGCACATCAAGCCAAGGGACACAGAGTGGCTGATGGGTTGGGCAGGGGAGGAGGAGAGTGCTATGGATATGTTCATGTACACCTGAGTCTAACAGAGTCCTGCCTCTTGCCTGAGGGGAGGGGTGCCTGCCTTCTGTGTTTAGAAGCTTGGGAAAAGGAAGAACACAGACCCCAGAACATTCACCCAATGTGTTGCACCCCAGGCAGAGGGAGGCTCTGTCCAGGCCCAAGAATGGGCCTACAGAGCCTGATTTCAGACACAGCATTGACTACCTCTCTCCTCCATTCTGAGGAAATGGGGGAATTATTTTTGCATTAAAAATATAATATGAAGTAAATGCAGAGCTCTCGTGAGCCATATACATTTTTTCTTTTTTCTTTTTTTTTTTTTAATTCAAGTTAGTTGACATACCGTGTAGTCTTGGCTTCAGGAGTAGAACCCAGTGATTTATCTCTTACATATGACACCCATGTCATATCTCTTACATATGACGTCACCCCTTTAATGCCCGTCACCCCCCTCCAGCAACCCTCAGTATGTTCTCTGTATTTAAGAGTATTTTATGGTCGTGAACTTTGAAACATAACCACAAGACTTTGAAGCCAGGTGAAGCTTTTGTTGAGCCTTTGCCTATGGCCTCAGGCTCTGGGGAGGCCCCTGTTGACCAGGCAGCACTGCTGGAGGTTAAGAAACCCTGCAGTTTCCTTGTGCCTGGGTGGCTCATTGGGTTAAGCATCTGACTCTTGATTTCAGCTCAGGTCATGATCCCACAGTTTGTGAGATTGAGCCCACCTACCCCTCCCCCCCCCCCCCCGCCGCTAGCCTGGGCACTCTCTCTCTTTCTAAATAAATAAAAAAACTTAAAAAAAAAAAAGAACCCCTGCAGTGTGCATCCAGTTCTAAGAAACCTCGTCCAGTACTGCAATATTCTCCCCAGAACTGCTTGGCACATACCATGCATTAGGAGCGCAATGGGAGTTTGTTGAATGACTAAACCTATCATTTCTGTAAATGCTTAAATCAGGGTTGGTGGGCTGGTAAGAAAGACACTTACCCTGCATCCAAATCTGACTCTTGTTTGCTTAGTTTGATGTTAGAGAGAAAAGCTGTAATCCTGTGGCTTCTTGGGAAATGCTAATTGAATTACTCAAGTCACATTTCAGCCCTCACAGAAAATTAAATATCTTCAGAACAGCGTGGTCCTTCATTCTGAAACTCTTGTGTCTTAAGCACCTTTCTCCCATCTTTGGAAGTCCTTTTCAGAGTTCCCCCGTGTGACAGTAATGAGCGCTAGAAAAATGCTCAGATGGATGGAATTACAGGCACAAAAGCCCTGTTGAGAGGCACAGGAAAAGCCTCTTCCTTTTTGACATTTATTATAGACGTGATAGAAGGAGAGCCAGGCTGTTCAGTGAATGCAGGTGGAGCTGTTGAGACCACTTAGAGAAGACTGGGGGAGGGGATCAAATATGTGCTGGAAATGGGTGGAGGAGGTTATTCTTCGGTACCTCAAAATCTTTTCAGAAGCCAGCACCTTCTCCTTTCATGCCAGCTGGAAATTGGGTCCCCCTTTACATAGAAAGCTCTTCAATTAAAACTTAGGTGTGAAAAGTACAAGTTGCGGAGTGAGGTGGTACCTTGGGAGAGACCAAGCGGTCTGGACTTGAGGCAGGAAGGTGACAGGACCCAGAACCGAATTGGCAACTACAGGGGGAAGGGCAGAGAGCCTTGGTCCAGAGCCCCAAGAAGATGCTGGCAGGAGGGGCTCCCAGAGCAGACTCCAGGCTTGGGGCCTGAGGCCTGAGAACAAGGTCTAGCTTTACACTGGACTCATCTTTGAAAAAGCAGGAGCTATGACTTGAGGCTATTCCAGTTGTGACTGTGAAACCCCACCCCTGTTCCTTTTTCTAGATGCAGCTGCCATTGTTATGGGGACAAGGACAGATGTGTACCATCTGTAACCTCTCAGGCAAAGTGAGGGCAATTCACTAGGTAAAGTAGCTAGGCGTTTTTACTAGTGCCAAGTTTGTGCTTTTTGAGTAAACAGCATGCTTTTCTTGATGCATCCTGACCATAAGCCCAGAGTTCCTTAGGACCTCAGAAGCATATCTGCTGGAATAGCAGGTGTCCTGAAGAAGGCAGATTCTTGGGTTATTCTTCACTTCCAGTGGACTCTGCATATGGGCTTGCTGGAAAATCTCTGAACTATCACATTACTGAACTGCTTATTAGGGCTGAGGTGCTTCACATCCACAGTGCCTGTTCTCCTTATAGCCAAGTGACTCCAAACCCAGTGATGGCACTAGTCACTACTCATCCTGCACCCAGGCAGACATTAAAAATGGATCACAGTCGCCACTGAGCATGGCCTCATGTAATTCTTTCGTGGTGTTCCAGAGAGCTGTACTAATTGATTAGAATTAGCACTTGAAATCAAACCCATTTTCCATCCCTACTCTAATTTTTTAAGGTTGCCATGCCACAGTTCAAAGTTGAAATGCACCAAATAAATGGGACGAGACCAAAGCTGCTGTTTAGTGGGAACACGTGAAGAAAGATGCCTTTCCAAGTTAAGCATCCTGGGACTGGCCCAATAATCGGTGGCAGGGGCAGCTGCAGAGGCTGTACACATAGGGAGGGTACTGAGGCCTCAAAGCTGTGGCCACTGCAACATTTGGTAAACTGATCGACAGGCTGTTCTCAGAAACAGCTAGTGTAGCTGGTCAGGTTCTCACTCAGCTGGCCTCACTGAGCAACTAGCCTATTGTCTATTATAGTTGGTAGATCCCAGCTCCACATGTGAGAGCTTAGGCCCTCTCAGGTCATCGCTAAAGGATAGCCAAGTATTCCTAGCTCCCAAGGAAAAGGGGAGTCACACTCCCTCTGGCCAGAGCTCTTGTCTGGCCCTGAAGCTGTGGTTGGCATGAATCCCAAGCCCTGGGAAGTCCCTGATGGGAGCAAGAGAGGGAAAGAATCAGGACCACAGACCTCACAGGCACCAGGCCTGACTGTATCAGGCTTATGAAGCTGTTTCTTTTACTAGCTCTTTCTAAAGCAGCAGAACCAGACCTCATTTTCTGAAATATTCCTATCTGGATTTTTTATTTGAGGGCTTCTTTGTTTTCCTCAATTGGCAAGACTTTGGGAAATGTGTAGCTACGTCCCCTGTGGTCATTGCTGTGCTAAGCAGGTGCCTTGAAACTGGCAACCATCTCAGTGTGAAGGGGGAAGCTAGTAAAACCTTTCCCTGTGATTTGGAATGGCCATGGTGAGAGGAGCCCCATGGGCAGGCCTTCCAGAGGCCTGTAGTGTGAGCCACAGCAGGCCAGTGCCCACCCTTAAAGACAGGAAGTGCTTCTTTATTACTCATTCCTCATAACTGTTGTATCTGTATTTCCTGTCTGAGATTCTTCTGTTCCCTAGTACCAGAAACCCGCCAGAGCTTATTTGAGAAAAGAAAAAAGGCAAGGGGTTGCCAGTTATTGTAAAGATAGAGAGATGTATTTATCAAGATAGGCTAAGCCACGCTCTGGTAACAATTAAATCATAAAATCTCAGTGGCATAACACAGCTAAAGAGGCTTTTTTCTGCCGCAAAGTCCAGGGTGCTCCAAGTTGGTTCTGGTGACTCCAGAATCCCAGTGCTGCCATCTTGTGGTTCTGTCATGTCAACATCAGTCACCACCTCATTTCTCAGATTATCTCTCTGCAGACAGGGATTGTTTTACCTTGCTTGGCTATCCACAGACCTCTCATTTACATAACTAGGGGCATCATGGGTCAATCTCAGATGTCAAGGAGGCAAAAACTCTAAGTGGCTCAGCTATAGCATCCACCCACTTCTAATCGATTCTGGCTAGGAATGTCGGTTGGGGCAGTCAGAGCCAGCTGTAGCATTGGCAGGGCCCAGTGCAAAGTGAAAATGCAGGCCCCCTTGTTCAAAAAAGCAGGAAAAGGGCTTCCTTCTTTTTTCTATGGTTTCCCTCTCCACCTGCTATGGGGGCTTTTTATTTGCTATTTAGTGTTATACTCTTCAGGGTGGGATGCTCACAGCACAAGAACAGGCCCTCAGAAGCACAGGAGACCCCACTCTGTGACTAAGGTATGCAGGGCACATGTCCAATCCTAGCCTTCACACTCACCCTTGGGCCCCCACCAGTGTGGAAGGTGGCAGCCATCACTGACTGGGCGGGGAGCAGGGCAGACACATCAGAAGCAAGAATAGAAACAGAAAAACAGGAGCAGGCAACAGAGAAAAATTGTCCTAGGGAGGCCAGAGGCAGTGGGCAACAGGAAGGTGGTGGGAGACAGGACCACATACGAACCAAGGCTCCAAGTCCCCAGACATGCTCCATTATCCCATGGGACCAGCCCTGCATACCGTGCTAACATGAACTTGGCTGTCTACGTGTATTTTCAGGGGTTCTGTTATTCAAGAAGAGAAGAGTCAAGAGGTGAGAAAACGTCCTGCAAAATAGTTTTCTGAAGGCCCAGTTGGCACATATTTGATGTTTGACATCATTATAATAACACATATTTAGAGCTTCCTCCAGGTACAAGGGGCCCTTGGGCAGCTCTGTTGACATCCTGAGAGGGGACTGAGATAGAGGCTTACCATCGCTATAGCTATGCTTCTGAGCTCTTTGGAAGTATTTGTCATCCTCTCTCTTCTGAAATTCTCTTCTCCATTAATTTCAGGGCTCAGGACTTCCTGGATTCCCTCCACATCTTCAGTTTCACTCTCTTTCCTGATACCTTGTCTCTCACCTGCCTTCCTCCAGATGTGGTGTGCTTTCACCTCTCTTTCCATCCCCAAATGTGGCTTGGACAATTTAATCTTGCCTCCATACTAATAACTCTCAACCTTTCTGAGGTCAGGGACCCCTTTAAGGGTTCATTGATAGTGACTGTTTTCCCAGAAAAGTTTCCCCTCAGGTCTGGAGTACCCCGGACCATCTGCTTCCCAATCACCTGCATGTAGTGCTTGGTAAAACTGTGTGCTCCTGGGCCTCACTCTAAATCCAAACTGAAATAGAATCTCCAGCTAGGGTCTGGGTATCTGCATTGTAACAGGCATTTTAGGCGATTCTATGGACTCAAATGACTAAGAACTGTAGCCATAGGTGTCAAGGAACTTCAGGTCAATATCAGGAAACCCTAATCTAAACATTTCACCACACTGACACTCTTAGTCATGACAGAAGTGTCCTAAACATACAGCTCTAGGCAGGACCTCTCTCCACTACTACTGCTACATAGAAATGGTTATTGGACTGTCCTGAGAACTCTTGAAACCTACAATATACAGTCAATTATTGATTGTTTACCTTTTTTCTACCAATCTGCACCTCTGAATTTGGCTCCATCTATAGTCAGGAATGATGATTGGTTTCTTCTGACATCTGTCAACTGTTCACATCACCCCCCCTTATGTGTGTATACATGATGTGCCAGCTGGTGGTAAAGTCATGTAGCCACAGGCTACACTGACCCTAGAAAATATGGTGCCATTTTCAGCAAATCATTTTTGCCCCAAGTAGGACAGTGTGTATTGAAAGCATGCATTCAACACTTACCCTTCCAAGAGCCCTCGTGTCTATCAAATAACCTCTTTCCATCAATATCCTAGGCTTCCAGTCATCTGAGAGTCCCTTCTCATTTGCTTCCTACCCAATCAGACATGGAGCCCTGCTCATTATTCTGAAAAACCTCTTGAATTTTTAGTTTTCTATACAGCTCTACAGTTACCAACTGCGTTTGTCCACAACCTTGCCCCTAATTTTAACTACAAAGATCCTCTGGGTATTTTCTCCCCACCCCACCTCTCTTTCTCTCTCATCTTGTTCCCTAGTTATACTCAACTTCCGTCTACAAAGAGGAGCTCAAAAACACACTGATTTCACGGCATCATTCACCACTTAAGATCTACCATAGCTCCCCATTGCCTTGCAGATAGCACCTATACCTTTCTGCTTGGCATTCAAATGCTGCTGCCCTACATCCACCCCACCAAGTACTTACTCAGCCTCATCTCTACACATGGTGGGTTGGCCTATCTTCCTCCTTTCTCTCACCCTGCATCATTCAAGTTCCCACCCCTGTGCCTTTGCTCTTGCTGGCCCCCTACATGGGATGCCCAGCCCTCACCCCCACGGCCATGTCATGCCCATTGTTTCTTCAGTGTCACAGCTCAAGGCTCACTGTCTCTGGAGGCCTCAGATCACCACGTGTCCAGGCTGCTCAGTACTCCTTTGAGGGGTTCCTTCTCTGAAACTCCCTCACTCATATTTCATTGTGATTTCAAAGTGTCTGCCTTTCCCAGCTGGATTGTAAACACAGCAGACATAGGGACCAAGATTTCTGCTTCTTGGTTGATTTTAGCGCACACAGTAAGTGCTTAGTAAATGGTGGTCTTCTGCAAAGTCACGGACTTTGATTTATAGAAAGACCTTTCCACTTCAATAAGGGTATTCACTGTATGTGTTCTGGAGAAAAAAAAGACCTCAACTGCTCATGGCATAAGCTCACCAGCTTGTCTGAGTGCTTAAATAAAATAATTGACAATAAGACTCTCCTATTTGTTTGGTTAGATTATGTATAAATGGTTCATCTGAGCCCCTTAGGTCCTAGGGTAATTACACGTTAAGCAAGGTGTTTGTTACCTGATCTGGGCACTCAGTTGTTCTCAGGCTATTTCATGTAACAGAAAGAGACCTGAGAACCAGCTTCTGCTCTCAATCACCCTTGGGGGGCCTGGAGGAGACAAGCTGGCTAGGTGAGAGCTCTTGGAACTGCTTTCTTGTAACAGCCAGATCTCAGCCCTGCAATGACAACATGACCATTTGCTGACACTTACCTGTGCCAGGCTGCACTAGTGCCCTTCTGTGTTGCTACCAAACCTCATTTAATTAAGTTGGTTGCTTGAGAGATGACTGATTTATGAATCTGTGGTGAGGCCCACTCAGAAATTATTCTTGGTCCATTGAAACTTAAGCAGAAGTGGTTTTTATCAGCAAATGCTGAATTGCTTTTAAGGATCTTTTGGGCAAATATGCTGGGTTCTAAGTTTATTTGTTTTGAGAGAAACAGAGACAGGGTGAGTTGGGGAGGGGCAGAGAGAGGGAGAGAGAGAAATCCCAAGCAGGTTCCGTACCATCAGCACAGAGCCCAGTGCAGGGCTCAAACTCACGAAACCATGAGATCATGACCAGAGCCAAAACCAAGCTGGATGCTTAACCGATGGAGCCACCTAGGCACCCCTATACCAAGTTCTAAATAAAAGGCGTGGAGTGGTTGCTTAGGGCCAGTAGATGATTAGTACTTGTTTTTTTGTTTGTTTTGTTTTAAATTTTTTTTAACGTTTATTTATTTTTGAGACAGAGAGAGACAGAGCATGAATGGGGGAGGGTCAGAGAGAGGGAGACACAGAATCTGAAACAGGCTCCAGGCTCTGAGCAGTCAGCACAGAGCCCGACGCGGGGCTCGAACTCACGGACTGCGAGATCATGACCTGAGCTGAAGTCAGACGCTTAACCGACTGAGCCACCCAGGCACCCCTGATTAGTACTTGTTAAGAGAGGGAAGGTGCTCTTTGATTTTGGGGTTGTGGTGCTGACTGCACTTTCTTCCACCCATGCTTTATCATCTAAATTTCTTTTTCTGTTGTAGGACCACCTGGCCCACCAGGTAAGAACCCATGGATTTTCCTACGTCATGGGGAGGATGTGGGGGGACTAGTTCCCCAGGATCCCTCAGAAGGGACTGAGGTGGGAAGGGAGGTAGAATCTGGAGTCGGCCTTGACTATGAATGTGTCCCCCTCCTTCTTTCTGCCCAAATTACCAGCTCTCCTGTCTGCTCCCACTTGAGAACCTGCCATTACCATTCCCCATCTGTCACTGCATCAGGTGGCGGCAGCACAAGTGGAAAATGAAGGGAAGAGGCAGGAGAAGATCTGGAAGAGGCATCACCCGTCCAGTTTCACTGGCTCAAGGAAACCATGTTAACCCCAGTGAAGACTTTTTTAAATGTTCTTGTTTCCCATGTTTTGACACAGGACCTCCGGGAGTTGGTGGGTTACCAGGACACAATGGATCAGATGGACAGCCTGGTCCCCAGGGCCCAAAAGGAGAAAAAGGAGCAACTGGAAAAAGAGGAAAAATGGGTATTTTGGCAACTTTCCTAGTTAATTTTTCCTTGTTACTTGTCTCAATTATTGCGTTTTGGATGGGCCAAAGCTGGATGTAGTGGGAGGAAACTGTTACATCTTTGCATGCAGAACTGGTTTAATTCTTGCCTGGAAACTATGAGCTGAGGTGCCAAGAGCATTCTTTTTAGTGCATCCCTAACAAAGGTTTATATCCAACTGGAGAGCAGCCTCCCTGGGAACTGACTCCCGCTCAGAATTCTGCCTGCTCTGATGCAGACTGACAGATGCCAGGGGCAGGGGCAGCCCAGGGACACTCCCTGGGCTGTGTGATGGCTGATGGCCCACAGGGTCCAAGGCAGCTCAGTCCGCAGAAGGCCAGCCATTACAGCTTTAATTGCAGAACAGAATCGATCCTTACGTGTTGATAATAATCATAATTATAAATGAGAATCAGTGTTGAATAACGATGGCTATCAGTGTGCAGACATTTTGTTTATCCCAGAAAGGCCCCAGAAATGTAATCCAATCCTGAGGATTCAGCCCTGAGCATTCTGAGGGCCAACTATGAGGGGGAGGAGACCACCATGCTAGCATTGGGTACAGAGCAGGTGGCAAAAGAGTGATGTTCAAAAAGGTTTACAGATCCCTGGCTTTGAAGAGGCATGCTTGATATGCAGCCCACAACCCAGTGAAACCATGAAAAAAAACAAGTTCATTCATTTACATAACACCTATTTATATGGCAGGTACTATTCTAGGTGCTGGAGATCCAGAAATGAAAAAGCTGACAAGATCCTTACCTTCATGAAACTTACATTCTAGTCTGGGAAGATTGATAACAAACAAGATGAATAAGTAGACAGTATCATCTTACATGGTGCTAAGTGGTACAGAGAAAACACAGTGGCAAGGAAATTGACCGACAAGTGTGCATATGTGGTGGGGAGGGAGGGGGGTACTGTAGATGGAGAGGCCAGGTAAGGCCTCCTTAGATGGGACCTTTAAGCAAACACCTGGAGGAAGGGAGAGAGGGAGCCATGGGGTGGCTGCGGGGGAGAGGATTCCAGCAGAGTGTGTGAGTCCGGTGTGCCCACAGGGTCTGAGGATCAGCAAGATGACCAGGGTGGCCGGACAGAGGGATACAAAGCGAATGCGGTGGAGTTGATGCCAGAGAGGTAGCGGCCAAATGAGGTTGACCCTGGGCATCTCAAGGACTGTGGTTCATACTCAGACTGAGCTGGGAGGATTTGCAGCAGTGCAGAGACCTTCCCAGATTCACTGGGAGAGGATCGCCCTGGCAGCTATGCTGATGGAGGCTACGGGAGGGGAGGGAGGAGGCACCAGTGGAGCACTGAGAGGTGCCAGAGTCTGTGTGTCAGTGGACATTGGGCAAATCCTTGGTTTCCCAGAGATCCCGTGGACTCTAAACAAAGACGCAGATCCTCTCTGCAGCTGTCTCGCAGCAAGAGAGGCCTCTGGGGGTCAGCAGTGTTAGAATAAGAACACTAAGGTTGAGCAGAGAACTTGAGTCATTAAGGGCCCAGGCAGTTGTTCTCGCCCAGGGCCAGGGGAAGGGGAGACTAGCACCAGCCTAGATGTACAAACACAAGGATTATTTGATGAGCCTGGTTCTATGGAGAGGTTGTTGGAAGTACCGCTCAGCTGTGGGCCAACTCAGATTCTGACCTGGACCACCGAACTCCAGTGCAAGGGCCCAGTCATCCTGCCGGAGCCCTGAAGCTGATCTTTAGCCTGGGATGGGTTGGCATTCCTACCTGGCACTCAGTGCTCTTGCAAGGAGGAGAGACCAGCTAGCCAGGGGGCCTGCACTTTGTTCTGAGGGCATCAAGAAGCCACTGAGGGGTTGCAAGGAGGAGAGAGTGACAAGACCAGGCCTGCTTTTCTAAAACAACACCGTGGCTGCTGCATGGAGAGCACATGAGAAGAACAAGGACAGAAGTAGAGAGACAGTTCAGAAGCTACTCAGTATGTAGGTAGAGGGGACGGCAGCTCGGAGTGTGGGGAGACCAGTGTAGGTGAGTGATATCCTGCGGTGAAATCAGCAGTACCTGGTGGTGGGTGGATATAAGGAGAAAGGGGGAGGGAGACCACCAAACTGACTCTGAGATCTCTGTCCCTGATGACTGCTCTTTCCTGAGGAGGGGAGACCCGTATCAACTCAGGTTCAAGCATAACCCAGCATGGGAGGTGCTGAGATGCCTTGAAATGCCCAGGCGGAGATGTCAGGGGGCCTTGGAGATGCAGACAGGTCTATAGTCAGAGGAGACCCTGGGTCTAGAGGTATACATAAGGGGGTCACCTGAAGTAGTGGGCATGTGCACACGGGTGCCCTCACTTTTGGAGGGAGCTAACAGGAGAGGAGGGCTTGGGTTGAGCCCTGAGAAGCAACAACATCTGAAGACCAAGCAGGAGGGGAGGAGACAGCAAAGGAGGCCAAGGACAGAACTGAGTAGCAAGAGGAATAGCAAGAGAGGGTGGGGACATCTGTCAGCAAGTATTTATTGAGCATGTTCCCAGTTCTAGAGGGGAAACACAACAGATGCAGCCCCTATTCTGGAACTTTCCATCTTTGGTGGGAAGGCAAAAAATTACCAGTCAATAATCAAATACATCTGCAGTCACAATGTGAGATGCCTATCTGAAGGAAAGAACAGAGTGTGAAGAGATAGAATACAAAGAGGGAGGGTCAGGGAAGTAAAGTCTGAGGTCAGACTTGAAGGAAGAAAGCACACAGAGGGTGGTGCACACCTACAGCACACAGCCCAACAGGTATGGCTGGGGGAAGGGACGTGTGCAGGGAGGTGAGGCTGGAGGCAGAGATCAGGCCCTTCCAGAGCCTTCAGGTCAGTGGTCTGGGTCTCCTGGTCAGCTCCCAGGAAGGCACCACAGGGTCTCATACAGGATGTGACCCACTGGGCCAGGGTCATGACTATGGAGAAGGAAGGATTGTGATTCCAGCTGAGAGTGTGATTCCAGGATCAATAGTGGTTTGCCAGGCAGGGGTGGGAGAGAGGAGGAGTGGGTGCACATTCCAGAAAGAGGGAACAACAAGTGCTATTTCTAAAAACAGGAAAAAGAGCCTGTGTTCCACAGAGACAGGACTCAGGCTGGACCACACCCTCTAGCAGTGGTCCTCTGAACAAAGCATGCAAATAGGTAGTATTTACTGTCAGGCATGCTACCAAGTACTCTCTTCACTTACCTTAATGTGGTCTTCAAAACAACCCTAAGGAGGTGAATATTTGGGTTCGCCATAATTTTTCCGGATGAAAAAGCCTTATTTTCTGTTTCTACAATAGGCCAAACCCACCCATGCCCCAGGACCTTTGCACTGCTGTGCCCACTGACTGGAATACCCTTTCCCTGCCATTCCTGCATCTAGTCCTGGTTCAGGTGTCAGCTCATGTGTCATCCTTCTTCCAGTTCATCCCTGACCTCTGTGTCTAGCCCCTGCCTCACAAACATAGTCACGTTCCCTGTTCTTTCAAAACACATATCCCTCCCCCAAAATTCCTTGCATTTTGCTTGTCAATGCACCGATGATCTGATTCCCTAGGGAGAATGTGAGGTCCATGACGGTCAAGCCATGTCTGTCTGCTTAGTCCTAACCTCCAGGGCCTGGGACACCCGGAGAAGTGGGGCAATAATGTCATTGTTGAAACGAATAGGCATAACTTGTCCAATGTCAAAAAGGTAAGAATCGGAGGAGGCAGGACCTGAAACCAGGTCTCTCTGACTCCTGGACCCTGCCTCTTAAACAGGACCACACTGAACTTCCAGGATGGAGGGGGTGGCCCCGAGTTGTGAGAGCGGCGTCACCAGAGGTACCACAGAGTGGGAGCTGTGCCGTTAATTACTGAAGGACACAGGGCTGCTCAACCCCTTGGGCCTGAGCCTAATGCCGAGTCTTACTGTGAGGGCCAGGAGGTGGCCAGTCCTTCAAAGAAGTCTGCAGGACACGTGCAAGAACATGCAGTTCGGTGCGTAATAACCTGGCAGGGAGACAGAGTTGGCTTTGTGCCTCTTATTTCCTGCCCTGCTTTCAGGCAGAGGAGTGCAGTGAAATGAGTCCCAGGAGCATCTGCCTCTGTCCTCGACTGGCTCTGAGGCCTTGGACAGGTCACTGTACCATAGGGCCTTGCCTTGGTCTCACCTGTACACTGAGGAGGGTGGGTTCCCACAAGTCCTACATGGTTTCCAGTTTTTAAATAGTCTTCTTCCGTGCTTGTCTCTGAAGGAGAGACCATGTCTTATGTATTCTATTATTTGGCACAGCTCTCTGCCAGGCCCAGGTGAGGCTCAATAAAGAATTGATGAATGAAGTATACAGGCGTGCATGCATACGTGTGTGCATGAATGAGAAGAATAGAGCATAGCTTCCTCCATAATAGCTTCCCATCCAGTTGAAAGAGAGGATGTATCTTACACACGGCAGATACTCAAAAGCTGGTTGTTCGGATTTGAAGACTGCTTTCTACTGCACAGCAGGTAATACTGCCAGAAGAGAAAGCTGAACTTTCCTGCGCAAACAATGGACAAATAGGGCCCTGTGTAGAAGATGGGTTGTGTAGTAGGGCTAAGTGTAAGGAACAAGAGAGAGAACTGTGATCAATATCTCAGAAGTAATTAGAGCGGAGCTGGGGAGGGCGTTGCATGGGGAGAACAGGAAGACTGAGCCCAGAGAGACTATTAGCGAGACTGCCCCTGGATGCTAGTGGGGACCCAGGCAGGATCATGTCTGCAGGAGGCAGCGGGGGGCCTCGTAGGCTCTTGAGAAGATGAAAAACCTGATGAAACCAGAGGAAAGGGATCTAGAACCACTGTTTCCAGGAGACTGAAGTAGCAGAGATAACCCTCAGATTCCGCCCTTGGCTGAACAACGATGGAATAGCATGGAGCTGATGGCATGGGCCAGGTTTGGGCCCTGGCTCTTCTACTTACTAGCTGTGTGTCCTTGGGCAAGTTGCTTAATCACTCTGTGCCAGTGTCCTCATCTGTAAAATGGGGACAATAGCAGTATCAACCTCATAATGTCATTTATAAGATTAAATGAGATGTATATATGTAGTGCTTAGAACAGGGCCTGACACATACTAAGTGCTATATTAGTATTAGCTGTTGTTTCCAAAACTTGATTTTAATCCAAAAGGAAATCTAAGTTTAAATGCCAGTATTCATGTGAAAGCACTGACTGAGGTTTGGAGAGAGAGACCTAAAGGGTCTTAAATGTTGTCAATTTTGCAACTAACATCTTTGATGAAGTTTGACATTCTCTTGCCTCAAAACCAAGCATTTTCTTTTTTTCCATCTGTCTCTCACTTTCTCATTAAGAGTTAATACTGCATCGTCGTCTTGAAAAATGGAATCCTCATAAAACAGAAATAAATGCTCTCCTCTTCATCTTGGGACTGGGTTTCCTGTGACACCCTCTGGCCCCCTTGTGCCTCCCTGCCTCAGTCAGTGACAGATGGTTCTGCCAGAAATAAGCCGTCCTCCCTCACCCCCTGCCGTGAAGATGCTGGCGTTGACCCCAGGGACATCACACAACCCCAGACTCTAGAGCTGGCGAGACAGTTTGTTTTGCGTGGGCACCACTGGAGAAGGAAAATAGCAGAGAGACACTTGCAGCATGTGAGTCAGGCAAGAAGCTGGCCCCTCTTCTCTGCAGAATGTGCTGACTCAAGCCCGCCAGAAATCACGGGACACACCATGTCAGGGGCCAGGCTACACAGTGGGACAGCATTGCTGTGCACTGCTGAGGCTGGCCAGGCTGGAAAGTGACGCTCACGGCGCCTCTGATGGTGAATGCGGTTAGGTGGTGCTGTACTCCTGACGTGGCATGGCCAGGGCACGGCCAGGGCGGGATGAGAGGAAACTTTGTCGGAGGCATTGGTTGTAAGAGAAACGCTGTGTAGAGACAAAGCGTCCCCGACCCTTTCAGAAGGAAAACTTAAAAATGATCATGCACACCCAGCTAAGAATCAAAATACATTCTTTTTTAAAATTTTTAAAATAAGTTTTCTTTATTTTTGAGAGGCAGAGAGAGACAGGGTGTGTGTGGGGGAGGGGCAGAGAGAGAGAAAGACACAGAATCTGAACAGGCTCCGGGCTCCAAGCTGTCAGCACAGAGCCTGATGTGGGGCCCGAACTCACCAACCGTGAGATCATGACCTGAGCCGAAGTCAGACGCTCAACCGACTGAGCTACCCAGTCGCCCCAAAACAAAATATATTCTTAAGCAGAGGTCTTTAAGATCTTTGGTTTTGTGTACTCACCCCTGTGGGGGCAGCATTACAACAGCTGCCTTACAGTATGAATGTTTTCTTTTTTTTTTTTTAATTTTTTTAATGTTTATTTTTGAGAGAGAGAGAGACAGAGCATGAACGGGGGAGGGTCAGAGAGAGAGGGAGACAGAATCCGAAGCAGGCTCCAGGCTCTGAGCACAGGCTCTGAGCCTCAGCACAGAGCCCGACGTGGGGCTCGAACCCACAGACCATGAGATCATGACATGAGCCGAAGTCAGACACTCAACCGACTGAGCCACCCAGGCGCCCCCAGTATGAACGTTTTCCTGATTCATATGTGGCCTTTTAGAGAAGGAAAAGAAAAGACATACAAGGAAGGAATAAAGGCAAAGAAGGGGAAACTGGATGCTGATGCAGTAAGGCTCTTTGAATAAATGCCTGAAAAAGAAAACCCTGAAATAACTAGAAAATACCATTTCCCTGAGCATTGCTGAATCGGGGTCATGTGAAACCTTTAGAAGGTTATCAGTTACGCTTGGTGCAATGTGCTGGCCAGACTCTATGGCAACGTTCTAGTCTTTTGTGTCCTTCAGATAATGTGCCAAATTGCCTATTTAAAATACTGACAAAAGGACGTCTTCGTGTGCAGAGGTCACTGATTAAGGGCTCTTCTTAAGTGAGTGAACCGCTTTCCAGCAAGATGTCCTAATGACTGTGGGCAGGGATGACCCAGAACCATGGGTTTTCAGAGCTGTTGTGAGAGATGCATGATGAGCCATGCCCTCCCCCCCACCCCCCAGTGGGCTTGGTTTGCCATCTGTGTGACAGAATCCATAGCAGAGCAAGTGCCCACAACTGAAGGGCTGCCCCTACTCTTGTTCACATCCTCTTCCACTGTGTTCCCAGCTCTTCACTGGGAATTGGGCGTCCCAGTGCATGATACCCACCCGACATCACCACTGGCAGAGGCAAGCAAGCCGGCGCCTCCTACTCCCTCTGCCACAGCTGAATTTCATGGCTTTCGTGCAGGTGTGGTTTTTACAGTTGGTTGAAATCCAGCAGACGTTTCTCTGCTCACTGTGTTGTCTAACAGTGATCAGTACTTTAAGGTTCTTGACCACACTGCTGTCTTCCTTGGGGCGGTCCGTAGCTGGAAGAGCAAAAACCACATTGAACATTTATCACTTCCCAGCATAAAGAAAAGGTGCCAAGAACTGCAGCTGTAGGTTTTGGGGGGATACTGCCTTTGATGGCAATGCAGAGTATTCCAGTACGATCTGTGATATGACGTGATGTAATCACTTCCCCATTGCTGACAGGACTTTTGAGAAGGGCCTATCAGATAGTGCAGAGGGGCTTTTAGGGTAGGATGGGAGGTTACTCCGAGTCACCTCTGAGGTGCCTTCCAATCCCTAATCCTCGGATTCTCTTGATACAGTTCTGTTGGGATCCTATGGGGCTGGTAGGAAGTGGGTCCAGATTTTAAAATCTGGAGGGAGGATCACTGCAAATAATGGTGCTGCTATCTGGAAACTACCTGCCAGCAGTGCATAGTAATCATATTATGCACCAAGCTTGCTTCCTTTCTCTCAGGGATCAGAATGCTGTACTCTCCATAGTCCGTGCTGAGATGGGCCATTGCACAGATTCTTACCTATTTTGAGCTGTGAGTGACAGGTCTGCAATTCCCATAGTCAGGACTCCCCAGGAACAGAGGCAGACATTTCACACACAGCATCGTGTTCACACTATCATCACCCCTCTTCATGCTTGTGCTAGAGCAACTCTACCTGTTTTGCTATTTTGATTAAAAGCATTTTGCATTGAAGTGTCACAGAAAAGGAACCAGAGATGGAATCAGAAGACCTCTGCCTGCTCACTTAGTGGCATCAGTGATAACCACTGTAAGCCTGAGTTCCAGCTTCTATGAAATGACAGTAAGGATATGTTACTAGCTCACCACTCCAGTATGTGGTGAGGAATAAACCAAGTAATGCACGTACCCTTCTAGCACCGAACAGTCCCATCTGAGTGCTCCGCTCTTCCTGCGTGGCAAACTTCTGATCAGGCCTTACCTTCCTTCTGCCCTTGCTGTGATTGTCCCTTTCTGGTCCACCCCTCTCTCTTCAACCTGTTGGCTCAGGCAAATGTCCCTAAAATATTCAGAAGAGCCACCTGGAAATACTATTTGTCAATGAATTTATAATCATGCTGCTGTCCTAAAATGGTTACAGGGTCTTCTGCATTTGGCTACTGAAGCCACTTCATCTTAAACATACAAAGTACAATATCACAAAGTCGTGTACCAGAGTTTCTTGCGCTATAGGCTAATACATTATTTTTCCCCCCTCAGGGCCACCTGGAGCCACAGGAACTCCAGGGGAAAAGGGAGACCCTGGTGAGCTGGGTTTGACTGGAAATGAGGGCCCACCAGGGCCAAAGGGGGACAAAGGAGACAAAGGGGATGTGTCCAATGATGTGCTCCCCACAGGTAAGTGGCTGGCACTTGGGCTGTCTCCCAGGGTGATCAGGCCCACAAACCAGCCTGGTTTTTAGTACAGAGGCAGCACAGGTTTTCTCTCCTTTTCTACTTTGTGTGCCCATCTGCTTTGCAGCATGTTTTAGAGTGCTGTGCTTCCAAGAAGGAAAAAAACTGTGCATGTTACCCCAAGGTTGGTGAGACCAAATCTGAGATCTCAGCATAAACAGTTTAGATAATTCAGGTCTAAACATCATGATTAGATTGAATTAGGATGACAGGAGCTTCCTTTTGCCAAATATTTATTAAGCCTAGCACAATATAGAATAAGACAAATAAGCAAGCAATTTAAGATACCTCAGAGGACAAACTGACAGAAAGCTCAGGCATTTTCTTCACAACCGAGGTAGGATCATCTTCAGACCTTAACCCTCAGCTTTTGGATGTAGAATTGGGCAGACATGGTTGCCGGTCTTCTTTTTCTGGCTTCCAGCCCAGGTTCAAAGCAGATGGATGGCATCTGGGGTGGGGTGGGGAGGTAGAGGCACAACAAACCAGAAGGACGATCACATGGTGGAAAGATTATGGTGTTGGTGACAGCTGATGGGCATGGACGAGGAAGGGGCAGAAGAATTTTAAAAGCACAGTACTTCAGAGACATAACTGTCCTACTAATGTAGTCAATAAACCTTTTTGAATATCCAAGAACACCATTTATGAATTAGAGACTTTGGTAGTAGCTGAGAATATGAATATGAAAATGAGTAAGACAGGACATCTGTCCTCAAGAAGCTAGGATGATAGATGTTCAAGAATAATGACCCTGAATCAGTCACCCATCTAGCCACTCAAAATTTGTTGAGCACTTACTCTTTGCCAGGCACTGTGCTAGGACCAAAGCATCAAGGAAAGCTCAAGTTATGTTTAGCATGCTTTGTTGCATACACAAGGAAGTTGTTATGCAAAATATATATAATTTAAGAAGTATTTTGACAGGATCATAGATTTGTGAATAAACTTTGAAAATACGAGATCGTGTTAGACTTCACTTATATGGGAATCTACACATCCAGAACACCACACTCCCCTATACTACTGAACAAGTGAGGGGTGATGACAAACCATTCAGAAAAGCAACATCACTGAGTGTACCCCAATTCCAGAGATCAGGCAGAGCTGAGTATTCCCTGGTCAGAGAGCAGACAAGGCCTATGAGGGCAGATCATGTCTGCTCTGCCTACAGATCTCTGCCCCTTTCTGAGTGGGCTTGGACCTGCCTCTAGCCTCTGTGGCCCTGGCTTGCCCACTCACGCCAGTGACCTCAGTGGGTTATCACAGGGCAGGACAGGGAGGATGAGACTCAGTCTGGAAGTAAAGAAACAGGCTCAGAGGGTTAAGCTGCCTGCCCAAGGTCACAGGCTGGACAAGATCTCCTGATTTCTCCTACCACACAGAGCAGTGCTTCTCATACCTGGCAGCATATTAGGAGGTTTTAAAAAATACAGATGACCAATCTCCTCACCATTTTGATCTAACTGTTCTGGATGGGGTCCAAGCAGTAGAATTGTGTTAGACTGACTCTAGGTGACTCTAATAAGCAGTCAGGGTTGAGATCCTTCAATGTGGCCAGTGACATGAGCTTGAGCTTTGGTGTGAGACATACCTGAGGTTAAGTTGTAGGCCTGTTCCCAGTTGTGACCGTGGGCAAAGCACTGAACTTCCCTGAGACTGAGGTCACTGAGGGGCTACTAATACTGTCTCACAGAATGGTTGGGAAGAACAATGGAGGGGGAGTTGTGTAAACTTCTTAGTGCAGTTCCTGGCACATAGTTGGAACTCAACATCTGCCATGGGTACTTTCTTGACTTTGGATGGCCAGGGCTAGAATACAGTTATGCCTGGGAATGGGGGCTCATCAGTCCTCCCCAGGGCTGTTCATTCTCTTTTCCCCTGGGAGAAACCCATCTCTGTTTATGGCTCTTGAATCAATCTCTCTCCCTGCACCCCTTTCTCTCTCTCCAGGTGCCAAAGGTGACCAAGGCCCACCTGGCCCGCCTGGCCCACCTGGGCCCCCAGGCCCTCCAGGTCCCCCAGGACCCCCTGGAAGCAGAAGATCTAAGGGCCTACGGCAGCCAAACATGTTCAATGGCCAGTGCCCAGGTTACCAGCCCCTGCCCCTGCCCCAGAGAACCCGCCCCTTCAGCTAATGATCCCAAACTCTCGGGCTTTACCCAGGCTTTGCAACCAGATTTTTTAAACAGAAGGAGATTCTGCCGAAAGCTAGAGATTCCCCCTTGCAACATGCAAATGGCTTGGGCAGTCTGCCCCAAGGGAGAACTGGTAGCAGGTTTAGAATTGGGTCCCACACCCTTCCCTCATCACTCTCCCCTCATCTGTCACCAGTCTATTCCTCTTCTTTGCCAAATTCACCATCCTTTTCCCCTGAAAGGGTCTCAAAGGCTAAGCTATTTACTCTGGGAACGTGAAGGGCTTGACTGATGCTGGGGAGTTGAGGGGGAGGTTCAGATTGGTTAACTCCCCACAGTACTACAGTTCTGCCCTCACCACCGCAAAGCTTTGTGTGCTAACTACGTGCAGGGCACAGTGCGAAGTACTTGGTTCACGAAATGATACAGGAATCGGTATTGCCACCAAATTATAGATACAAAACTGAAATGCTAAGGAGCTATTGTAGCTTACCCAATGTCACTCAATTAGTAAGTGACAGAGCTTGGATTCAAACCCATGTCTGCCTGCCTCTAAAGTCCTTCTTTTAGAGCATCTTCCTTTCAGAGATGGAAATCCACACACTGAGACTAAGCCAACCCAGGGCAAGGGACGCCTGATCTCTGGCAGGCCAAGAGGACTTGTCAGTCGGCCAATCTGTGACAGAGGTGGACATAGGATTGAAAGCTAATTAGAAATCAAGGGCCATATAAATAGAAAATACTTCTAAGATGATGCTAGAACTTCTTCCCAGAGTGGTGACCCGGGACCGACTCCTGGTCAGGCCACGAGAAGGCACCACTTGATGGCATCATGTCAGTGGCAAACAGAGAGGAGGATACCGACTGGAGTTTCTTTCACACTTGCTGTGGGCTTCCCTGCTGCTTTCCTACATGGTCTTTAGTTCTGTTTGGTGCCCTGGTCTTTTAGGAAGGCTTTTGGGGGCACACATCAGCTGTCAAAGTGGGCAAATCAGTGCTTTCAAAGATGTCACCCCCACCCCACCCCCCAGTCAGTGCAGCCTGATTATGATTCTGCCCAGCAGTTAGTTAGAAATCACAGCCTCAGGGCCGAGCTGCCCCCCTCGGCCCGCCCGGGGCTCAGCACCACCCCCCTCTGTTAGTTTCAGCCCTTTGTTCAGCTGCCCTTGGAGAATGAGCTGAACAGGAACCTTCTCCTGGAAGAAGGGGGAATCTGACTTGAGCTTTTGCAGAGTCCCAATTTGCCAAAGACTATGTCAGCCAGGGCACGGGTGCTGGAGCAACACCTGCCTCTGCCTGGCCTGCCTACTGAGCAGGGGCTGGGCCTCAGAGTTGTGAAAACTGCTTTAAAGGAGAGGCCATAATCTCCCACTCGGCCTCCTAGAAATGAGTCCTCTGTTGCCAGGCATCTTGCATCCGAACTTGGCCTTCTCTCCTGCTCCAATTCCATTTCTTTAAGCTCCCTCCCGCCCCCACAGCTTTAGAAGCAGGCTGGTACAACATGAATTAATGAGAGCCTTTTCTTTAGATGAAGAACAGGAGGGTCTCTCTGTCCCTTTCCTGTATGAAACCCAAGTTCCTTAGTAGAAAGTCCAGATGAAACTCAGGGGCAGCAGAATTGCATGGGGAGCGGGGAATCATAACAGATTCCCCAAAACTTCTTTCATCAGGGGACAGGAGGACTCGAGGCAAATATAGGCTCATCCTGCTAGAAAGAAGCTTAGACTGCAGAGGGTCCTGCCCTTTATTTTACTAATAGAAAAATCTCTCCAGATTATTCCATGAGCTGCTCTTGGGACAATGGAGGTAATCCTTTCTATCTAGCAACTACAGGTGACTTGAACCTCTTAGAATTTGTCTAGGCAAGTGGACCTGAACTTCTCTGGAAAGCCTGATTTGCCTCAGCCTGCCCCAGACCAGGTCCTTCTCCCCAGCCGACCCACTCCCTGTCCTCACACTGGTATATTCCTCCCCTCCTTCTCTGTCCTACTTCTGCTGCCCCAAGACACCTCTTCACCAAGGTCTGAATTAAGCCCATCTGTTAAAAGTAACAATTACAACCCAGGCCTGATGGCTTCTTGCTTAGGTATAGCTTCAAACCAACTATAAATTGGGCGCCTGTCAAGGACCTACATCCCGTAGACCTTCAAGCAGACACAGGTGGGAAGTGATGGGGGGGAGTTCAAACATCTCTGGGCTCCTTCTTCTGTGATGCCTCCCTCTGGCATCCAGAAAGACAGGGTAAAGGGGGCCACCCTCTCATGAGGACCCATCATCCTCCCTGAAAGTGAAAATCCTTCCTGGAAAATGCAATCCATGATAGTGATACCTACCACCTGCCCAGAGGGGCCAGGAAATTATCAGTAAGTCTCTTCCCACCCCCCGCCCCCCCCCCCCCCCCAGAATTCTGAGGGCTTGGACAGGCCACTTTTTCCCTTTTACTGACAGCCTCTTGAGATTGTATTACTTTAGCAACTGTGCTCCTAGAAAGCGTATTAGGAACTCACCAAGTGGTGGAGGTGAGGGACAAGGGTGGGGAATTGGGAGTATAAGACTCGTTGCTTAAAAGCAAGCAACCAAAAAAACTTGGTAGACCTATTATAAAGAAAGCTTATAGGACTAGAGTCTGGAATGAGGTGGGGGAGAGCACCAATAATAAAGTTACATGAGTCTCACTGCGCTGCCTGCATTGGCTCTGATCATTGCCGTTGTCGTTGTTTTAGGGGAGACATGCGCCATACCAAATGATGATACCTTGGTTGGAAAAGCTGATGAGAAAGGTGGGGAACACCATTCTCCACAAGCAGGTGCAGAGGCAAAGCATCTTGTTTTGAAATTCAGAAATTGGATGTCTTAAAGTCATAATTGGTAGGTGAATGACTTTCCTTTCTCCTCTTTTGACAGAATCCATGATCGCTTCCATTGGAAATCCAACACAAGTACTGAAAGTTAAAGAGACATTTGGGACTTGGATAAGAGAGTCTGCTAACAAGAGTGATGAGCGGATCTGGGTGACTGAACATTTCTCAGGTACCTTCACTTGACAATGACCCACATCATTGTGGTAGTTGTGCCTTTAATCTGTTGCCTGCCTTCAGGCTTCTTCTATCTCTGTGTGTCTGAAATCCCTGCTGACTGGTGTCACAGAACTGCCCTTTATTTCAGACAGCACAAATGAGTGGGCAGAACACTTTTCTCAGTTGAGCACACTGGTGACAAGCCTTGCAGTTCAGGTCACAAGGACATGACCGGGGTATTCCCAACTTAGCTTATCCAGAAGGAAGCAAATATCATTATGACTCCAGTCTTAAAAGCCCCAAACCATAATGTGGAAGAAATATCAGACAAATTCTTGTGCACTGTCCATCTTTCTTTAAGGAGAGTACTTTTGGCCATCTTTCTCAGATATCTGTTGGACAGAGAGCCCAGGGGAGAAGGTGAAGTGCCATCTTGCAGACACACTGCATCTAAGCATGACCCTAGTTATACTGCCCCAGAGGGACGTGGTCAGGGATTGCCAGTGAGGGTAGCAGTAGCCTCATTCCAGAAGGGGTCTGACCATATTCACTGGTCAGAGCGATAGCTGAGACACTCTGCTTCATTTCATCAGGGCCAAGTGATCAGCGGGTAGTGACTGCGTGGGTTGCCAGCCAAGAAGGATGCTGGCTCAGAAGGAAAGAGGAACACTGTGAATTAGCAGTGGCAGGAGGAGGCAGGAGGTGACTGCCCAAGTGCCAAGTGTTTGCTATTCCCAGTACAGGCCTATATCGGTCTGATAGATTTTATAAACAATCTAGGGTATGCTGGGAGGGAGTGATACAGTTTTCCTAGGAGGAGTAAAGCCAACTCTGTGGCTCCTACCTTTGAAGCATGGTTTAAGAATCCAGAGAAGAAAACTGGACTTTGAGTTTGGGAGTCTGAGACTCTAACCTGGACGTGAACCCTTGCAGGACACCTCACTCTCAAGTTCCCTCTTTCTAACTCTCTCCCCTGACTCACTCCCAAGCTGTGATTGCCTCTCCCTGGCTTTCCCCCTGCAGGCATCAGGGTGAAGGAATTCAAAGACCAACCCTCCCTGTTGAATGGCAGTTACACTCTCGTGCATCTCCCATATTATTTCCATGGCTGCGGGCATGCCGTTCACAACAACTGTCTCTACTACCACAAAGGAGGCTCCAACACCATAGTGAGGTGAGTCATTTGGGTCACAGCTGTCTTTCCGCATCCCAGACAGCACCTGTGTGGTGCTTTAGTAATCTGAGAGCTACTTAGGGTTTGGGACTGTGGTGCCATCATCTTCCTGTCCCCAGAGCCTGGCACACAGAGGTCAGTCAGGGTTTTCTGACTGAACCACAGGAAACAGTGAGTGAGCCCCATGACCCAGCCCTGACCTGGGATCTGCAACATTGCTGCTTGGGACACCAAGACTAAGGTCAGAGCCAGAGAGAAGTAGACCTGGTGTGATTAGGGCTGCAGCTTTGTCATCCTTTGAGAAAAGAAGCAGCCAGAACCTAGCTCTCCCTAGCCAGGAAGGTTCACGCACACTCAAAGTTTCTGAAAAACTTTGGGTGTGAAGAATTTCATGTCCCAGCTGAGATCATTGAAGACTAAGGATGACAGTGCAAAGCCAGGGAACTTTGCGTTCAGATTGATCTGTCATCTTGATGGAGCCCTTGCCAGGCCACCTGTCTTCCTCTCTGCTTACCAAGGGGAAGGAAAGTGGTCACCTGGGTAAGCTGTGCTCGGGGTGGCAGCCATGTCTTCCTGACTCCCCAAAAGAATTGCTAAAATTTTGTCTTTGTGGCTCAAGAAGAAATCAGGTTTTGGGCCGAGGCAGGGCATCTTGGGAAATAAAGAGAGTAGGGAGCTCAAGTCAGGTTCCAACTTCTCCTACTCACTCCATGGCCTCAGACAAGACACCACCTCCTGTGGTCTGCAGCCCTCCAGCTGTACCCTTATCTGAGATAATTCCAGTATTATGAAAGCCATGGTCCTAGTCATCCAAAACAAGAGATAAGGACCTGAGAGAGGGCTGGGTCCCTCTTCCCTTGCCCTCACGGCCCTCCTCCACTTGGTGAGGTCCAATCGCAACAACCTTGCTGGCATTGAGTGTGGGTGAGGATGGGGGTGGGACACATGTCAGCTGTGGCTGGAAGCATCTCCTCCTCCCCCTCTCATCTCCCTCTCCCAGGCCTCCCCATCATTTCCATATCTCCCTGGCTACCTCATTGGGCAGAGTCTTGTGTTAACAGCAAACAACAACCAACCCACCTCCTGTTCAGAAGCCAGTACTCCCCAGACACATTCCTTCCCATGACATTTCTCCTCATTTAATTCTGCAGCTCCCTACTGCCACAGCACTGTTTTTACATAGGGATGAGGGTGGTAAGGGAGTTCCAGGATGAGTGAGCCCCAGAAAGAGGATTGGCCTCTCCAAGAGTGTCTTCTAATGAAGCTACATGTGTCTGACACACTACTTTGGCCTGCTCTATGCCAGGCCACAGGTGGGGCCAGGGGACAGGCAGGCTGGAATAAGACCCTGTTTTTCCTGTGAGGGGTCAGGCCTCCTCAAGAAATGCAGCTGCTAGGTACCAGACCAACGGTACTGATGGACTGATTGGCAGTTCTGAGCTCCAGACATTCAGAGGAAGAAGCAGAGGTGGGCAGGCAGGCTGTTCTCAAGGCCTTATTTTCTCTGGTGTCTCTCACACTTACCTCAGGGTCTCTTGATTGACTCCAAGTTTGTTAGTTTAGGCTCCACCGCATATCTGCAGATTCATGCTTCCCCTATTTCTTCTCCTGCTCAATGGCACCCTCTTGTGTTTTTCTTCTCATTTAGCCTAACGTTCGTGAATTTTCATTCCTGGAATTAGGTAACTTTTGAATCATAATCAACTTTTAGATATGGTCTGGATTTGGAGTCTGCCTGGTCAGACAGCCTCCAGGAGCTGAGGGCATGGGATTCCATGCTGTAGCTGAATTTATCCAGTCACTTTCCTGACAAAAAAACTGCATGACCTTGACTTGGCTACGTTTCTTCTCAGCTGACAACTTTCTTCTTCATTTAGACCACTGTGACATTTTTGTCGTAAAAATTCCAGCATGGGGTAGAGGAAGAACCCCCAAAATTGCAGTTAGAAAACCTAAATTCTAACTCTGGCTACTTACTCATATTCCTGGGCTAGTCACTTTCTCATGTGTAAAATGAAAAGACTGGACTAGATCATTTTTTAAGGCCCCTTGCAGATCTAAGAATCTTAGGGCATTTTAGGAGGTTGGCAAACAACTGAGGAGTCATGAGGGTAAGGAATTTTCCTGGGGCACGTGGCACGAAGGTGGACACTTTAGATGTAGTCAGCATCCTTTACATCCTTGGTATGCAGAGCATTGTGGGTAAACCAGTAGACCTAGAATTTAGAAATGCAGAATCCCAAGCCCCACTCCAGTTTAATAGAGGAGACAAAACAAAAACAAAAAGCAAAAAACAAAAAACCTACCATTGTCCACAAAAATGCTGACTCATATCTACCTTTTTCACATTTCAGATTTGAATTTGGCAAAGAAACATCCCAAACTCTGAAACTTGAAAATGCCCTGTATTTTGATCGAAAATACCTCTTTGCAAATTCCAAGACTTACTTCAATTTAGCTGTGGATGAAAAGGGTCTTTGGATTATCTATGCTTCAAGTGTGGATGGCTCAAGCATTCTTGTCGCCCAGTTGGATGAGAGGACATTCTCTGTGGTGCAACACATTAATACCACATACCCCAAGACCAAGGCCGGTAACGCCTTCATTGCCCAAGGGATCCTTTATGTCACGGACACCAAAGATCTGAGGATAACATTTGCCTTTGATTTGTTAGGAGGGAAACAGATCAATGCAAACTTTAATTTAAGAACTTCCCAGTCTGTTCTTGCCATGTTATCCTACAATATGAGAGACCAGCATTTATATTCATGGGAAGATGGTCATTTAATGCTTTATCCTGTGCGGTTTTTGTCAGCTACAATAAACCAGTGATGAGATGCATTCTGTTCCCCCTTGACAAGTTTCAGATGTTCTCTGGTACCATGAATATTCCAACATAAAACTTGTCTTTAGGGGAACCAGGTCCTTAGCTGTCATAATCTCATGACATGAGTGTTTATATGGTCAGGGAACCCCCTTTAAATTCAGATTCCGGGGCGCCTGGGTGGCGCAGTCGGTTAAGCGTCCGACTTCAGCCAGGTCACGATCTCGCGGTCCGTGAGTTTGAGCCCCGCGTCGGGCTCTGGGCTGATGGCTCGGAGCCTGGAGCCTGTTTCCGATTCTGTGTCTCCCTCTCTCTCTGCCCCTCCCCCGTTCATGCTCTGTCTCTCTCTGTCCCAAAAATAAATAAACGTTCAAAAAAAAATTTAAAAAACTAAAAAAAATAAATAAATAAATTCAGATTCCTTAGAGGAAAATAGCAACAAACTGGAGGTCAAGATGGCTATGATTTGGTGATTTCTCCACAGACTATCTGGGCAAGTTACCCTTCTCTCTGTGAGCCTTGTTTTCCTGACTGGTAATATGAAAGGGCTGCCAAAGATGACTGGCAAGATTCCCTCCACCTGTAGGCATTTCTGTGCTTCTCGGCTGTTACTGCTTTCACAGCTGTTACATATTTGGTTTGGTTTTTTGGTTTTTAGCCACATGCTGAGCAAATTTACCTCCGAGATAAGCCCGAACACTTTTGAGCAATGAATTCCTTAGTAGTGACTTGTGTTCAGTGCCTTGGGAAGCTGCATGGACCCTTTAAGGCTGTGGAGGGACCACATTACCCATAATTTACTACCATTCTCTGCGTCCGCACCAGCCACCACAGCACTGGAATGAGCATCATCCTGGGCTCGAGTTTGCCGCTCCAAAGTTAAAAAAAGCCAGGCACAGCTACATGCTCAGGCTTGCTAATGAAACAGAAACAGGCACTGCCAGGTTCCTATCAGTCTCTGATCCTGCTGTAGATCACAAACACTGAATCCTCACGTCACCCTGGCTGCTGCTTTCACTGCTACGTATCTGCTATCAACTACTAAATATTATGTGAGTAGGCATTAATCTGGCTAGAACCATGGGAAGCCCTTTGCAGTTTTTGGAAGAGGCACCATTTGTGATTATTATCTAGAACAGGGACGGGCAAACCATGGCCCTTAGGCCAAAGTTAGACCATTGCAAGTTTTTGTGAAGCTGTATTGGAACAGGGTCACTCGCCTTTGCTTGTGTATCAGAGTTTGTGACTACTTTTGCTCTACAGTGGCAGAATTGAGTTGTTGCGAAAAAGTTGAGTAGGGGCCCTGCAAAGCCTAGAACATTTACCCTTTGGCCCTTTACACCAAAAGTTTGCCAACTTCTGGGCTATAAAGTGAGGCTGATTGTTGGCAGGGCTTATTCGCCAGAGGCTGTTTGTTATGTTTTGTTTTATTCCAGACAAAGAAAGAGTAATAATACGGTTTGAGTGTTTGGTCGAGGGGAAGGGTGAGAACAGCATAAAATTAAGTGGCCCTCCCCCAAAGCGGTTAGTAAACCGCTCTTTCCCTAATGTAGTTTCAAAGGATGTCATCTGATCCCATTGGAAGCTAGGAGAAAAATCCAGTTTAACTTGCACCTGAATGCCCTTAAGTATGTATTTTCTGCCGATTCAGTTCTTCAGACATCCTGCAGCCTGGTGTATGGGCAGGGCTGCTGAGAGGAGAGAGGAATCTGGAAAGTTACTGGGGTCCCACAGCCAGGAAGGAAGGGGACCCAGAGAAATCTTATGTAAAGATTTTTTTATCTGTTTGCCTTCACTGAATTCGTGTGTGTGTTGGAGGAGAGCCACACACTCAGGGTTTTTCATACTTGGGGGCCCTGAGTGTGGCCTGATCACTTATTTAATGGAAGCATTTTGAAACTTATGGGCTATACATATTTGGGTATTTAAATCTCCCCACCCCCTGAAAACACTTAGGCAGCTACTGGGGACTTCTTTGTTGTTGTATTCTCAAAATAATGGATATTTGAAAGCTTTTCTTCACTTCTCTGTTAGATTGGTTGTGTCCTGTCAGCATAGCTTAAAAAAAAATACTCTTCAGATTCATGTTTTGTAACAAAGTAAAATAGTTTCATACTTAAGATCAATGCATCTAGAGAATACTAGTCTTTTAAAGTATTTGAATACATGTGTTTCTGTTTTTGGACATAGGGGACCTGGATATGAATACAGTTTCATAGTAATAGTGGTATTAGTAATATATACATCCAATACTAATTATATATATGGTAGCAACCAAAGAATCTTGTTGAATTAGCACATATTCCTTTCAGAAAAAATTTTTTAGAAACCTCAGTCTTGATATCTGAACTATCCTGACTCCCTTAATTGTGGGTATGGGATTATATACTCACTGCTAGGGAAGTTCATACTGGGATTTTTTTTTTCCCCATGGAGGATTAATATCGGGATAACTGAGTCTGAGCAAGGTGTAAGTAACAATATAATAGGGTTGAAGGTTTGTCTTTACACAAGGCAAAGAATCCAGATTTTACTCCTTCTTGCCTGCAAATACTACTTTATTAAAAAAAAAAAAAGGCTTGGGCTCACTGCTAAAGTAGAATGTACAACCTAATGTTTTTAAGTCAAGATACCATTTTAGAAGTTTACATTGTCACTTATAATCAAAGTTGCTTTAAAGCACTTTTCAAATATCTGCACTTCTGATGTCAGAATCAAAGCAGATAATTTCCTAATTCTTCTTTAATCTAAAATAGATAGCTTTCCCCTGGAAAGTAAATAAAACTGTCCTCCCAACCTCAAATGTAGGCCAGACACTATTTCAAAGCATTTTCTCTCAAAGTGATAATGTGTCGTATCAAAGCCGTGCAGGTGGTCATGGTCTCAAGTGGATCACTAAGCACAGATGTTATGACAGAGAAAGAGTTCTGGGGTGAAAGCTTTAAAATGAGGAGTTCAGGGGCACCTGGGCGGCTCAGTCAGTTAAGCGTCTGACCTCAGCCCAAGTCATGATCTCCTTTTCAGGAGTTTGAGCCCCGCCTTGGACTCTGTATTGACAGCTGAGAGCCTGGAGCCTGCTTCGGATTCTGTGTCTCCCTCTCTCTCTGCCCTTCCCCTGCGCATGCTCTGTGTCTTTCTCTGTCTCAAAAATAAATAAATGTTAATAAAAAATTAAAATGAGGAGTTCCGGGCTTAGGTCCCTTCGCAGTCATTCCCTTCAAGGTTGCTAAGTGAGGGGCCAATGAGACGCTATGATCCTTGAAGAGCCAGGAGTCACTTTCCAACTTCAAGGTACATTTTGTCTGTGACTAATGTCAAACCACATGAAGAGGTATGTGATAGGGCTTTTCAGTTTCTCCGCTGCTGCTGGGACCTGGTGTTGATGGGATGTCCAATCTGTAACCACAGATCTGAACAATTCTGAACAACAAATGAATCATGGTGAATGTCTCTCTTTTGGTTGCCGTTTATTTAACGTTAGTCAATAAAATAAGTCATACGTTGAAACAAGTGTATTCTTATTTTTACCTCCTGTTGATTTACATGTAACATTTACAAGAAAAAATAACAACCCAAAGCAATATTGTGGAAGAATTACATTGGTTGCTCCTCTGTTGAAACTCTTGGAATTTGCTGACTCCTGAATACTGAAAAGTCGTTGATACGGACTATGTGTTCTCTATAGGAAAACCCGAAAAATGTAGAAACCAGTAACTAGAACTAGAGACAGACATAAACTCAGTGAAGATCTGCTAATTTATTGACATAGGCAAAGCAATTGGAAAGAACATAACATTTTGATCTAAAATAAAATAAGACAGATTTTAAAAAACTGAATTGGTGTGAATTTGGGCAGGTATCTTAATCCCTCAGCCTCTGTTTCATCTGTAAAATGTATAATAGTATTACTTACCTCCTTTGATTTTTTCTGTGTCAAATGACAAATGCTGTGAAAATGATATAATTCTTGATAAATTATTGTTACTTTTACAGTTCATCCTTCTGGAGAATCAGATTCTTGCAGCCTCATTCGAGGGTTGAGGGACTGCATCAGGGACACCACACCACAGTTTCTGTCTGCTGGCCTGTTTGATTAGGCGGTTAACACGTCACATCCCCCAAAATGGTTCTTAGCAATGTAACGAATTTACAATAAAACTGACTCTAATGAAAACGATGGACTTTTCCCTCTGCCCTTCCATCCTCCCTTCCACAGGTGCTGAATCAAGGGCACTTCTCAATGACATCCTCCTGGCTGAGCTCCATCCCAGAGCTTGCTTCCTGGGAAACGCAACCTGTTGTAGAGTTGCCAGGTAAACTCCAGGATGCCCAGTTAAAACTTAAATTGAGATAAAGAACAATCGCAACATTTTTAGTGTAAGTATGTCCCAGGTATGGTACAGAATATATTTACAATTAAAACTTGTTTGTCTGAAATTCTAATTTGACTGGGAGTCCTGCAACCCTAAACAGTTGTGGTCCTAAAAAGAAGCCACTGAGATCAGGTTTTGGAGCTGGATCATTGACCACCTGTTTACAATGAGGACCCCATTGCTGGTAGTAGATTGAGCACAATTAGCCTTTGGGACAATGCGATGGTCCATTTGTTAAGACTTTGGTGATGAATGGTATACCAGTGGAAAGGAATACCTTAGCTAATGTTATGTATCAGATGTTTGAGAATTAGGGAGAAATAGGGACTAAAAAGGAAACAAAATCAGGAGGGAGGCTGTTGCTAAGCTTGATTGGCCCTCTGGAAAAAGATAAAACGCTGAAACCAATTAATTGCCAAGTGAAAGCTACGTGAGAAAGCCCAGGTAGGGCCTCCTTCGCAGCATACAAAGAGGCTCTGATCTCTTGCAGTAGAGAGCAGGAAAAAATGAGGACCCGACCTTGGACTTGATCAGAGTTGCCAAGCTCAGAAGAAGGTGAAACTCACAGAGAAGTTCGCTGTACCAAGGTGAGGACCCAGACAGGGAAAGATTCGGAACCTGCCATATGGGATGGGGATATCTAGGTTGGCTGCTTCCAAATCTCATTGTGTGTAGTATTTGTGGTCATTTGGAAACAGAGGAAATTCAGGGCTGGGTTACACTAAGTAAGCTTGTTGGCAATTTTTTTTCTGCAAAAGGTCTGATAATAATTTAGGCTTTGTAGGCCACACTGTCTCTGCTTAACTGTTTAACTCTGCTGTTGTAGCTAAAAACAATCCTAGACCACACATAAGTGAGGAAGCATGGCTATATTTCAAAAAAAACTTTCTGGGCATTGAAATTTGAATTTTATAATTTTCAAGTGTCATAAAATGTTTTTCTTTTGACTCTTAACTATTTAAAAATGTAGAAAACCATTCTTAGCTTACAGATTGTACAAAAACAGGTGGTAGGCTTTATTTGACCTACAGTGCGGTTTGCTGACCCTTGGTGTGATACTGTGATTTAGAATTAGACATACATATTTGTTCTTTGTCCCCTTTTCTTACACAGAGCTCCTAAAACTATTGGAATTTCCTGTGATTAGAGCCATAAAAAAATGTCTTTTATTGTTAATGAGGTGACTTTTGAAAAGCCCCTAAACAACCTAAGGATGGAGGCTGGTTGCCAGGGCACCCAAATATGTTATTAGAAGGTTGGGACTTTGAGTCCCACCCTGACCTCCAGGGAGAGGAGATGGGTTGGAGGTTAAATCAGTTGCCAGCGGCCAGTGATTTAATCAATCATGGCTGTGTAATGAAGCCTCCATTAAAAACCCAAAGGACTTAATGTATTTTCTGTATTTATGAGTCTGTTCCTCTTTTTGTTTTATTGAAGTTTAGTTGACACATAATGTTACATTATTTTCAGATGTACAACATAGTGGTTCGACAACTCTATTAAACTCACCACAAGTATAACTACCATCTGTCATCATAGAACGCTATTACAATATCATTGACTATATTCCCTATATTGTATTTTTTATCCCTGTGACTTACTCATTCCATAACTAGAAGCTTGTGTCTCCCACTCCCTTCGCCTCCTCCCCTCTGGCAACCACCAGTTTCTTCTCTGTACTTATATTCTATTTATGCTTTTTTTGTGTGCATTTTGTTTTTTCAATTCTACACATAAGTGAAATCATATTGTATTCGTCTTGGTCTGGCTTATTTTACTTATCATAATATCCTCTAGGTCCATCTATGTTGTCTCAAATAGCAAGAACTCATTCTTATGGCTGAGTAATAGTCCATTGTGTATATACACCACATCTTTCTTTACCCATTCATCTACCATTGGACACTTAGGTTGCTTCCATATCTTGGCTATTGTAAATAACACCGCAGTAAGCATAGGGATGTGTATATCTTTACAAATTAGTGTTTGTTTCCTTCAGGTAGATACCAAGAAGTTGAGTTACTGCATCATATGGTACTTCTGTTTTTAATTTTTTTAGGAAACTTCATACTGTTTTCCACGGTGGCTGCACCAATTTACCTTCCCACCAACTGTACACGAGGGTTCCCTTGTCTCTACATCCTTGCCAACACGTGTTGTTTCTGGTCTCTTTGATACTAGCCATTATATTCAACACCTGATGATGATGATGATGATTTAAAAAATGGACAAAAGACCTGAATAGACATTTTTCCAAAGAAGACATACAAATGGCCAACACATGAAAAGATGGTCAACATCACTAATTATCAGAGAAATACAAATCAAAACCACAATGAGATATTCCCTTGCAACAATCATTCTGCCTTTTAATGGAGGTATTTAAACAAGGAATTAGTGAACTACAGTCTGCTAGGTTACCTATTTTTGTAAATAATGTTTTATTAGAATGCAGCCACACTCATTTCTTTATGTATTGACTGACACTTTTTTTTTTTTGTGCTACAACAGCAGAGTTATGTAATTGCTACAGAAACCTGCTGCAAACATAAAATAATTACTATTTAGCCCTTTAAGAAAAGGTTTGCTGACCCTTGGCTAGACCATCTACGTTTAATGTAATTATTGTTATGGTTGACTTAAATCTATAATCCTGATATTGTCTCATCTGTTGTTTTTCTTTTTCTGCTGTTTTTTGAACTGATTGAATTTTTTAATAACTCCACCTTATTTTCTTTCTGGGCTTTTGGTTATAATAAGTATAAGTTGTTACAAACAACTTACTGTTGTTTTATTTTCCTTTAGAGTTTATCGTGTGTATTTTTATCAGTGTACCTGTACTTTTTTAGCATAAGAAGCTTAGAACAATATATTTCCATTCTCTTCTGGCCTTTGTGCTATTGTTCTTATGCATTTTACTTGTACATATGGTATGCAACCAGCAAGTATTAGTATTTTTGATTCAAGTAGACAGTCATCTTTTAAATATATTTTAATAATGAAGAAAGAAGTCTATTCTTTGCCTATGTAGTTACCAGTGTTGGTGATTTGTGTTTCTTTGTGCAGATAGATCTCCATCTAGTATCATTCCTCTTTGGATTGAGGGACTGACTTCCTATACATGACTTTCACATTTCTTAGTGCAGATCTGCTGGTGATAAATTCATTTACCTTTTCTTTGTTGAAGTCTTTATTTCACATTCTTTTTGTGCTTCTTTTTTGGCAAGGCAATTAGGTCTCCCTTGCTTTTATCCCCAGTTTGAGCGATAATTGACCTATAACGTTCCTTAGTTTTAGGTGTACAACATAATTATAGGATATATGTAAAGTGAAAAAATTATCACAGTAAGTTTAGCTAACATCTATCACCTTACATAAATTCTTTTCTTGTGATGGGAACTGTGTGTGTGTGTGTGTGTGATGAGAACTTTAAAAAGTCTACTCTTCTAGCAATCATCAATTATGCAATATGGTATTGTTAAATATAGACGTTATACATTCTATCCTCAGAACTTATATATTCTATAACTGGAAGCTGTTACCTTTACCTCACATTCATGTATTTCCCACTGACAAGCCCCCCCCCCCCAACAAATAATCTATTCTCTATCTCCTTAAATTGGATTTTCTTAGATTCCACATGTAAGTGAGATCATAAGAATATCTTTCTCTGCCAGACTTAATTTCACTGAGCATAATGCCCTCAAGCATGAACCTCAGGGTGAATGATCAAATAGGTTGTTTCCGAATTAGGCTGTCATTGTAATTATAGCTATGGCTACAATGAACATTTGGATGCAAACAGCTTTTTCAGATAGAGATTTCATTCCCTTTGGGTATATACCCAGACTGGAATATGGAATCATATGAAAGTTCAATTTTTAATAATTTGAACCTCCATAATATTCTCTATATCACCGTAGCAATTTATATTGCCAACAACAGTGAAAAGGAAATCCCTTTTTCTCATCCTTACCGATACTTGTTATCCCTTTGTTACATTTCTATTTGATGTTATCTCTTTGTTGTTTTAACAGGTGTGAAGTGCTGTCATTGTGGTTTAGATTTGCATCGCTCTAATTCATGATGTTTGAGCCCCTTTTCACCTTCCTCCTGGCTACTCTGTCTTATTTGGGGGAAATGTCTCTCTACTTGGTGCCCTTGGGCGTTTTCTAATTGGATGGTTTCATTTCTTTCTACTGAGTCATATGCATTTGTTAGATGTTATGGATATCAACCCCGATCAGATATGATGTGTTAATGTTTGTTCTCCCATTCTGCAGCTTGCCTTTTCATTTCCTAATGGGTTCCTTGGCTGGGTGGGAGCTTCCTTGGCTGGGTGGGAGCTTTTTAGTTTGGTGTAATCTCACTTGTTTGTTTTTGCTTTGGTTGCCTTTGCTTTGGGGGACAAATCAAAAAAATCATTGCCAAGATTTACATCAAAGAACTTACCTACTGTGTTTTCACCTAGGAGTTTTAGGATTTCAGGTCTCATGTTCATGTCTTTAACCCAATTCGAGTTGATTCTTTCGTATATGGTGTAAGAGAGGAGTCCACTCTCATCCTTTTGCCTGTGGCTGTCTACTTTTCCCAGCAATTTATTGCAGAGACTATCTTCTTTCCATTGTTTACTCTTGACTCCTGGTCATAAGGTGGTCACAGATGAGTGGGTTTATTTCTAGGTTCCCTATTCTGTTCCTTTGTGTCCATTTTTATGCCAATACCATACTATTTTGATTTTTTTTAATGTTTATTTATTTTTGAGAAAGAGAGAGAGCATGGGCAGGGGAGGGGCAGAGAGAGAAAGAGACACAGAATGTGAAGCAGGCTCCAGGCTCTGAGCTGTCAGCACAGAACCCAACGCGGTGCTCAAACCCATGAACCATGAGACCATGACCTGAGAAGAAGTCGGACACTTAACCGACTGAGCCACCCAGGTGCCCCTTAATTGAGGTATAATGAAGAGCTAACATTAAACTAGCTTCAGGTGCCCAACATAATGGTTCAGTATTTGTATATATTGTGAAATGACCACCACACTAAGTCTAGTTAATATATATTGCCACAAATTGTTACTAACGTGTTTTCTTGTGATGAGAACTTTTAAGATGTATTCTCTTAACTTTCAAATACACAGTACAGTATTAGTAATGGTAATTACTGTGCTGTATGTACATTACATCCCTGGACTTTTTGTTTTTCCTAAAGCTGGGAGTTGGTGCTTTTTAACCTTAGTCACCCACTCATCTACCTCCCACTTTTCCCTGCCTCTGGAAACCACCAAATTTTTCTCTAGATCTATGAACTCAGTTTGGTTTTTGAGTTTGTTTCTTGGTTGTTATTTTTTTTTTTTTTCTTGTTAAGATTCCACCAGTAAGTGAGATCAGTCTGATTCATTCCACTGGGCACAATATTCCCAAGGTCCATCTGTGTTGTTGCAAATAAGCCTTCTTGTTTATGTACACATGATCCCATTGTGTACATATATACCCCATTTTCTCTATCCATTCATCCACCTGTGGACACTTCTGTTGTTTCCATACCTTGCCTATTGTAAGTATGCTGCAGTAAGCATGGGGGTGCATGTGTCTTCTCAAGT